ACTACTGCGGAAACAAAGACACCTACATCTTGGATGCCCTTGAGGTAAGCTAAAACATACCAAAAATTAATTTCAAAGTGAACTATCCCTTTAAATTGTTTAATTAAGGTTTGTGCATGCCAGTTTCCATGACAGAGTTCAAGATAAATATTCGCATTACTACTGGAGCTGCCGGTTTGCTTAACTTCAAATGATTATTAAACTGCAAGCACAAACTATGCAAAAGCAGCAGCCGTCAGTGTCTGAATTCACACACTCGTTTTCATTCACTCCCTCAAGTGGACTATATCAATGAAGTAATGTAGGGGATAGTGAATGAGGGTATAGGAGGCGGGTTCGAACACAGGTGTTGATTTGCTTGTTCAGGTGTGTTTCATTAGGGTTGGAGCTAAACTCAGGAAAGTGGACCTCGAGGGCCAGAGTCGAGATTAACATTGATTATGCATTACCAAACTTACAACATTCATACACTGGACTGCATTAAATCAGAAACATCAGGGTTACTGGTCAATAAAAACAACAACAGATCATAAGAAGCTGTTAGACAGTAGATTAACCTGCATTTTAGCATCTGTCCAGATCCCCGCCAACTCTCTCTCTCTCTCTCTCTCTCTCTCTCTCTCTCTCTCTCTCTCTCTCTCTCTCTCTCTCTCTCTCTCTTAAAACAATAGAATTAGATGGAATGCACTGGAAAGTCCAATGAAAATACTGCAGCTGGAATGCACAATTCAAAGAGGGACACAAATTAATGACTCAGGTTGAGAACTTGTGGATGATATTCTGTCATCTAGATAGCTCAAATTGTGCTTCTAGAAAATTATAGGAAGAAAAAAAATTGCGTGAGATCATAAGACATAGCCTAACATATTCTGATTCCGCTGCATTAGATTCCAAATAGACGGATTTAGTTTTACTATCCAAAAAAAAAAAAAGTGTCAACGACATTCTACCTCTTATGCTATTTCCATTATTGACATGTATCACCTCAGGATTGTTAAAATTTATTTTCTAATAAGAAAAATCATATGCAATCATATGTGATGACCAAAAGTTAAGTTGCGTCGGGTCAGAGGTCACTCTGGAACTAGACTCGCACGACTGTTACCGGAAGCCAGTGAAAATAAAGTTATAAAGTTATATTTTTCTTACAAAAACACACCACTTCGCTTCAGAAGGTCTTTATTACCCCCCTGAAGTAGTTTGGGTCACTTTTATTATGGATGAATGCGCTTTTATGGCTTCAAAAACTACAGATTCACTCCCATTATATAGTTTGGAAGAGCAGGATATCTGATAGTGTCTGAAAGAAGAAAGTCATAAACCTATGGCTTGAGGGTGAGATTATGGGATAATTTTCATTTTTGGGTGAACTAACCCTTTAAGTGTAAAAAAAAAAAAACTTTCATTGGGATAAATAAGGGACTACTTTTATCGCATAGAAGCATGAGGCACTGAAATGGCCAAAATGAAGCAAACAAACATCATAGTCCAGAAATGTTAATCCCACACATAGCCTAGCTGTTTTTAATGAAGGGTTTTGAAACTCACCGATCCTCAAGACCTGCTGCGCGCTGAGACTGACCTCTGCCATCAGACACAGCAGGACGAAGCTCACACCTGTCCCCTTCAGCATGGGACACCTGCAGGAGACACACTCAACATACATATCCTTCTTCTTTGTGTATCCATACAGGAATGATTTCCATCCGAGCAGCATCTTTCCACTCACTCGTACTGGTGGGAATCACCCATCCTCACATCCATAGGTGCTAACTGGGCATCACTTTCCAGAATAAGTCATCCCTTCCCGCGGTGCTTTCAGGACATAGTGGTGTTTCTGACAGGGACCGCGCGACTCCCAGTCCGTGCGCGCGAGCTCAATTGAGGGCACTGGCGACTCTCTGATCCGCAAACATGGATCCGTTGTGAAGATTAACTTCAAATCTGGCAGCGGTCGACCTCGACAACGTCTTTGCTCTTTGGTACACCGAGGAAATGATTAAATCTTGTGCCGGCGCTCTGATGGAAACGCACATCTGCCAGCAGATTAAATACCCGTTTATCTGTCACTCGCTGTCTGTGATTTCGCCAAAGGGGAAGACACCTTATTCAACAGCAGTTAACCCACTTTTAATAATATAGGCTACATTTTTTTTTAAATCAATCGCATTATATAAAAATTCAACTAAAACGACCATGGTCAGAAGTGATAAGCAGCTGTGAGAAGTTTGTGTGTGAACTAGGCTAGTGGTGGAGATTTGATTCATTCCAATGATTCAAATCTTAACAGTTATATGAAAACAGCAGTTAACCCACTTTTAATAATATAGGCTACATTTTTTTTTAAATCAATCGCATTATATAAAAATTCAACTAAAACGACCATGGTCAGAAGTGATAAGCAGCTGTACGAAGTTTGTGTGTGTGAGGTGGAGATTTGATTCATTCCAATGATTCAAATCTTAAACAAGCTCAGTTGAAAAAAGATTTGATCGGATTGATCAGTGGTTGATTTCGGAATAGCTTACTACTCTTACTATTTCTGCTTAATAAAAATATGGCAGTGCAATTTCGGTAGTATACGGAGCCCCGGGACATGGTGAAGAGAAAAAAAATGAGATGGGAGAAAAAAATATTTGGCAATGCGTGTGCGTTCTCTCGCAAATGTTTTGCGTTCCCTCAAGACACTTTGCGTTTGTTCGCAAAAGGTTGGCTTTCCCCTGAATTTTTTTTTTTTTTACCTTTGGGTATGAAGTGTTTTAATTCTAGATAGAATATATGGTGTAAAAACGTCTGAGTGCTGCCCTCTTCAGGTTGAACAGTGGATACTGCAGTTGAATTTTCCTATTGGAAGTTGTGGTGCCCTGTGACGTAAGAGGGTACCGTACCAGCTCACCGCCCCTTGCTTACAGAGAGACGCGTCTCAGGTATATGAACTCAGCATGTTTCCTGCATATCTGCAAACATATAAGCGTATTTTTATGCTATATTACAGAAAAAAAAGAAATGAAAAAAAAAATACATACGGACCCTTTAAATGCTCGATCTCTTTAAAGCAGGATGCATTCTGATTGGCTGTCAATGTTTTTATTGTTCATCAGCTGGAAAAAAAAAACTTTTTGAAAGTGATTCCTCCGCTCTGGATCTGGTTTAAGAGGTGATTGCGACCCATATCCTTTAGGTCTTTGTGACAGTGGGTTTATACGGCATTAGAGGGATTACAGAGACAGGATCTGGATCACAGATCATTTAGAGAGGGAGGATAGCCTACAGTTCAGCCCCTGTAAACAGAGCCAGATAAAGCATGACGCTGGGTAATGCATTTACAGGATGATTTACTCTAGAGGTGTTTACTTTGACAACACACTCGACTATAAATTGTAATACATTTTTGTTGTCATTGTTTATGTATTTCTTTATGGTGTAACAAAGGGAAGAAATCTCTGTAAGCTGTTTTGCAATACAACTTACAATTATCAAAATGAAAACAACAAAAAAAGATGAAATCCCCAGTAAGCTACACTTGTAAATGGTAAGGGTGATAACTATAGTAAGGCCATCTACTGGTTAATCATCATAATGTCGATGGAAGGTCGAGGCAAGTTATCACACATTGTAAGTCAATAACAGCCTATTACAGGATTGCAATGAAAGGTGAACAAACACAAAAAATCATTGTCACACCATTACACTCAAGATAACTGAACTGAGACAGACTCTGTGACAACTATCCAATTTCCTATATTTAATACATATTCTCTCACAGTCACAAGTGAGAAAAACAGCAGACACTTGCATATAATCATTTACAAATGTATAAGTGGCAAGTATGATATTAGTCCCCTGTCTGCTGAAAAGAGAGAACCATGGGATATTCGCATGAATATCTCTTCAAATATTGTCATATTCTCAGCTCCAGGACAAACTCACAGCTGTTTATTTAGAGAATAACACACTCTTCTTAACTGCCAGCAAATATCATCCCACAGGGCTAAAACCGGTTTGATGTGCTGTGTGCTGATTCAGTGTTTGCTGTCCATATGCCTCAATGAGAAACAAAGGTTGTTTAAAAGGGCTGGATTCAGAACAAACAGCTCTCACAGCTTTGAGTTCACAACTTTATGTGCATCCATTGACAGTTTTACCTGGAGTTCTCCATCCGTTAGCGTTCACATTCGAGGGCAGTTGCTCATCTGGTGCGGGACACCCTGTGTACTACCTGCATTCTGACATTATCTCATGGGACAAAGACTCTGGAGCTGCAGGAAAATGACACCAGGACAGTCTTAACCTTCAGTAGCTTCTGTTCTCAGCTGTGATGTCAAATCCATTTCACATTTTTAAAAGCCCAATAGGAGAAAAAAAGGCACTGCATGGCAAAATGATAGTTCACCCAAAAAGTTTATTTCTTTTGTTGAACACAGAATAAGATAGTTGGAAGAATGTTGGTAACCATTTTTTTTCTTCATACTATGAAAGTCAATAGGGACCAGCAACTGTTTGGACATTCTTCTTTTGTGTTCAACTGAACAAATAAACTCATACAGGAGAACAACTCTGGTGAGTAAATGATGACAGAATTCGCATGTTTGGGTTATTCCTTTAATAAAGCTAAATATTAGTGAATTATATGTTGCATGCGTTGCATTAATATTTTTCGTGGTTTGATATTTAATGCGAGTTCTCGCGGTCTTGAAAAACCTGGATATGAGGGAATTTTAAAAGTGTGATCCCTGTCAATCCCACGAGATCCACCAATAGCAAACCACCACCATCCAATCAATTCTCCATAAACAAAATCAAGTCCCGCCCTACATTTCTTCTTGTCTGAGAAGCCTTTTCACTCGGATAACCGTCACAATAGGCAAGAAAAGACGATCGCAACCTTAGTTTCATGCTGACTTTGCCACTTCTAGTTTCTGTAAATAAAAATGTTTGACAAATCTTTGTCGTTCCAGCAGAAGAACATTCTGAAATTAAATCTACTGGAATGATGGATTTTTAAAATTATTAGTATTTAAAAATTAATGTAGAAATAGGGCTGCAACTTAGATACGCAATCCAAAGCTACTGTCTGAGCTGTTCGACTGCACCCTGGAGTGGTTGTACCCTATGTAGAGCGGGTTCTGCTGCACAGGGTGAAATGTGGATCCGGAGGTGAAGGACGCGTAGGGATCGCTCCCGTTGAAGCGTGTGGAAAGCTGAGGGGGGTACAGCGTGTTTCTTTGCATCACATATGGGCCATGATAGTCCAGGTTCTGAGGTGGCGTGATGTTTTGACTGTACACTAAAGACCCAGTGGTCACCGGTTGCACACTGCAGGGTGAATGTTGACCACTAGAAGGCGTAATGGCGTAGCTGAACGCAGAAGGCTGCAGGATGGAGAGGCTGTTGTTCTGGGGCAAAGCCTGGTGTCTTATAGAGTTAAAGGGCTGGAAGCGGTTTAAAGCGGGTTTATTAACTTGTCGGTGTGAATAAAATGACGAGCCTGATTTTGGACCAACACGACGACAGAGAAATATAACTCCAGACGCCATAAGAAAAGCACTCGTTACCCAACCGATATACAGCGCCTCTCCTAGTTCCCTGCGCTGCGCGTCGACAAGTAGAGGGTTGTAGAAGTCTCTAATAATAGCGTGAGCCGTCCAAGAGACCGGGATGATAACGCAAACGGACGCTAAAATCTGCATCGCCCCCGAGGCAATCGCAAACGTGCTTTTGACTCGCGGTTGATCCTTGAGACACGACGTGCAGCGGAGGCCGAAAAGAGACACGAGCAGCCCGAGTGCAGACAGAGCCAGAGCGCTACACGTCAAGCCCCGGGACGCCTGCAGGTCCGGCGGGAGGAACAGCAGAGAGTCGTACGCTTTGCACTGCATGTGGATGTTGGCCTGCCTGAAGCACGTCATCCACAGACCCTCCCAGCGGGTCTCCATCACGATGATATTCTCCCCGATGAACGCCGTCACTTTCCACATGGGGAGGCCCGTGACGGCCACCGTCCCGATCAGACCGATGATGCCCAGGCACAGAGCGAGGAGGTCACACTTGCCCTGAACCATCATTGACCTCCGCCTCACACGCTTTTGTCTATTTCATTGGTTTTCCTAAAAGTAGAGCATATTAGAATGATTTATGAAGGATTATGTGACACTGAAGACTGGAGTAATGATGTTGAAAATTCAGCTTTGATCACAGGATTGAATTAGCTAGAAAATATATATTTTAATACACTGATTTAAACAGGCAAATGCTTAAGAGTCTATGATTGGATCATTATTGCAGTGATTATTATGTTTCATGTTATATGTTTGGCAACAGTTCTTCTAACCCTTATTGATGGAGTGTGTAGCTTTTTATTTCCTAAACAACCATAGGGAGACACATCATGGCCATATTCCAGGATGACAGTCAAGATTCATCAGGATCAAACTGTGTGAGAATGTTTGTGAGGAGCTTGAAGAATCAGTTTCACACATGAATCGGCTCCTCTGAGTCCAGATCTTAAACTCATTGAAAGTGTTTGGGATGTACTGGAGGAGACTTTAAAGAGTGCTGGACTCTCGCATTGACAATACAATATCTTGATCAAAAATTGATGCACTTCCTTGTGATGGAAATAACATCTCTACATTTATTTCCATCAAGATTTGCATACATTTTTGGTCAAGATCTTGTATTGACTATGCAAGAGTCCAGCACTCTGTAAAGTCTCCGCCAGCACATCCATGTAGCCTGAACAGTTTGATCCTGATGAACTTTGACATTGTCATCCTGCAATATGGCCATGGTCTTACATGGTTGTTTAAGAAATGAAAAGCTACACACTCCATCAATAAGGGTTAGAAGAACTGTTGCCAAACATATAATATGCTAGAAACATAATAATCACTGCAATAATGATCCAATCATAGACTCTTAAGCATTTGCCTATTTAAATCCAAACAGCTTTTTTTGTGTGTGTGGCCGTGACAGTGTATTTCACAATAGTACTGTTTGTTACTGTAGTTTTGATCAAATAAATGCAGCCTTGGTGAACATGAGAGACTTCTATCAAAAATTATGTTGTTACTCTGTCTAGCTGTCCCGAATGAACATCTCCTCAAATGACAGGAAATTATCCTCAACAAATGAATGAATCCACTCACCCTGTTCTGAACAAAGATAATCCTGTTGGGCAGTGATTTAGTGTCCAAATCCAGAGGTCTCAGACTCAGCGTGTTAAACACAAAAGACAGGTGTGTTAGAAAGGTGAATGTAGATCAAATAGGACAGTCAGTGTCCACATAGATCCACATGGCAGTGTGCGATTATACATCTTAATGATAACTCTTTTTGTTATGGGAAAGTGGCAGTGGTGTCTTCTGATTGGTTCAGGATGATGAGGGTATGTAGAGATGCTGATGGTGTGTTTACTGTCCCAGTACAGTGTTCATATTCTGTCAACAATGGCATCTCTCATGTAAACGCACTCAAATGAACAATGACCTTGACTAAGACAGAGTAACAGGATCCTCATACTTCATCACTAGAGGGAGCAGCTGCACCGATTTGGTTTTAAGTAGTGCTTTGGAAGCTGAAATGAGTTGCTTTTATCCTCCTTATTTGGCACCAGTGCAGAAGTCAGCTGTTTTCTGTGAATGTGCGAGACTTCCGATTCATTCGCCGCTGTACGTAGAGAACGGGAAGAATAACAAAGTGCAGAAAACGCTACAACTATCTGCGCTACAAACCAGTCTGTTCATGATTACGATGATAAATTGAATTAATATCATAACAAATACAAGTTTGCAACATTAAGCAGGATGATGGGCTGTTTTTGTAGCCTACAGCTAAAATAACTTGAACCACGTGACACCGGAGTTACACATTTCCACGCCGCTCACGTTAAAAATGAGGTCAGTGACCGTTTTGGACAATATTTTTAGTTGCTGCGCATTGCATTGTCTATTTTTATTGTCATTTAGTAACCATAAATTTACATTTGATCCAAAGCACCAGTTGTAGATCATCTTTAGTGCCACATAGGCCGATGACTTTTGTAATAGTCTAATCAAGGTCACTTCTCACTGGTGACGACCCACATCTTTTGCATTAGCGGCCTGAATTATGAGGTACCACACCACAGTCCATACAGGCTCTGTTCTCAAACCCAGTGAGCTGCCTTGCTGTATATACTGCCTACGTAGAGAGCAAACTTCTAAGGAAGCATCCTAACTAAAATTTAACATCATAAGTGAGTGATTTAGAACACTATACGCACTAGGAAGTAACTATTGTCTTCACACAAATAGCACTGAAATAGAGTTCTGCATATTGCATATTGCTAAGGTAATAATGCAATTCCCATTGATAACTATAAAAATACAGTGTGCATTTAAATTTGGTAAAATAGTCATTTTAAAATAGCAAATGTTGTGTTGCACTTTATTTTACAGTACATGCACTTATGTGTACTTTGAAAGAAGAACATACTGGGTAATATAAGGTTAGGTGTAGGGGTAGGTTCAGGGTTAGTACCTAGTTATTACACAGTTATTGCAATTAATAAGTACATAGTATGTTACATGGAGAACAGGGCTTTAAAATAAAGTGCTACCTAATTTTAAATTAGACTGAACTGTTTTATCATTATTTTTGGTATTGAATGAAATGAAACATTAATAATTTATTTGGGTGTTTTTTTTTTTTTTACCCCTTTCTTTCTTCAATGAGCTCATCACAGTGCATTCTGGGATTGCATGCTCCCAAATAGTTCTGATCCGTTTCCTGGTTCTGTTGTAGCATTACTATACTAACACCAGCAGCTCTTGTGTTACTCACTCGCTCTGGGTGTGTCTACACAGAGACGCTAGAAACAATAGCCGTCTTATGTTTCACAGTGGCTTTCTATTTATCTAAAGCCGCAGGGCATAAAGATCTCGAACGCACTGAGCTGAACTAAATCACCAAATTCAGCACCTGCCTGTAACTCAGAACCCGTGACTTTTTGAGAAAACACGTCCTCTGAAGCTTAGAGATGAACAGATTTCTTCTGAGAACTATTTCTGAGCAAATACACAAAGGAAACAGAACACTACCATTTAAAATTACCTGTAAAAGCGGAAAGATATGAGGAGAAAAAGCAAATATGTTATCCTAAAAGATATTTCACATGTTTATTGATTCAAATCATTGAATTGTGATTTGATATTTACAAAAATATTTGAATATTAAACACTTTTCCTAGTTTATATTTTAGACAGCTTTGAAGTAATGCCTCAAGTGACACACTTTACAACATCCTGAGGTATGATCAATCATATAAAAAAAAAAAAAAAAAAAACTAAAACAATTTTTCATCATTATCTCAGTCACAGTTCTCAAAAATGCTCCTACTTACAAAGTAAAAAATACACAAATTAGTTGAATTGACATTCAAATAGTCAAAAACAGCAAAGATTGAATCGGGGAACAAATTAAATGTGCAAGCAACTTTGTTTTACATTTAAAACCATTTAAATGTTAATATTGGGTTACACTTTATTTTAAGGTGACGTAGTTACACATTGCATCATGTACTTACTATAGTAATAACAGTAAATTATGCATAATTACAAGTAACTGACCCTAAACCAAACCCTAACTCTATAGTAAGTACAAGTTCATTAATATTACTCGGTGCTTATTTGAGCAAGTACAATGTAACTACGTTACCTAAAACCTTTGGTTTGAAGTCTGTTTCTCCTTTGCTCTTAGATACTTAAAAAGCCAAAGTAGAAACTGTATAAAAAAATTTCCCAAGAATGAAACTTGCAAAAATTAAATGTATGACTAAATTTGTTACATTTAAAACCATTTAAATGTTACAATTTTATTATTAATTTTTTTTTATTTTTTTTATCTTTGTTTAGAAGTCCAAGCTTCCCATCTCTCTCTAACACACACAAACATACAAAAACACAAATACACAAGCCTGTGGGTTTCAGAGATAAGCCACTGCGCTGCGGGCGGACGGGTGTCGGGACGGTTGTTTGAACGACTGCTGTCTGGTCGGTTGGTACGACGGCTGAATGAACGACTGCTGTCTGGTCGGTTGGTACGACGGCTGAATGAACGACTGCTGTCGGGACGGTTGATACGACGTCTGAATGAACGACGGTGGTCCTGACGGATGACTGTAGTCGGACCGCGCTTGCGGATGGAAGGCCATGGGTTGTGGCTGATAGGCCACATAGGGTGCGTTCCTGGAGTACCTGTACCTTGGGTCTGGGCCCTTGTCCAAGGGGCCGCTACAGCAAGTGAATATACAACCACCGGTGAACAGGAAGGCCGACGACACCCAACCGATGTACAAAGCCTCCCCAAGCTCCCTACGCTGGGCATCGATAAGCAAGGGGTTGTAGAAATCCTGTATAATGGCGTGTGCGGTCCATGAGATGGGAATGAGGCAGCAGAAGCAGCCCACTAGGATCATGCAACCGGAGATGATCAGAACCATACGCTTGGCACGGTCGTTGTCTTGAATGCATGCCGTGCACCTCATCCCGACGATGGAGATAAGTAAACCCAAACCGGTCAATGCCACGGAGCAGCACATGAGCCCCCGTGCGGCCTGGAGGTCCGGGGACAGCGCCAGCAGGGAGTCGTACACTTTACACTGCATCCGAATGTTGGCCTGCCGGTAGCAGTTCATCCACAAACCCTCGTAACGGGTCTCCATCACGATGATGTTCTCCCCGATGAACGCCGTCACCCGCCACATCGGCATCCCGGTGCTGGCCGCCGCCCCAATAAGCCCGATTAGGGTCACGCACATTCCCACAATCTCCAGTGCGCCGTTCGCCATGACTCCAGAAGCCTGCGTGCCACAGATCAGCAAGAACAGGTTTCAACTGTGAGGATTTGCATCCTGCTGGAATGGGAGCTCTTAGGTGTTCACCTGTTCCCAGTCTCCGCCCTCTTTTGCTCAAGGGAGGGAGGGAACGCTGAGGCTGGTTGCTATGAAATCGAATCCCCATGTGAGTGTTTGTAGGTCTATCTGGTTTTGTGTCACTCGGAGGGGGAGGAGGAGCACGTAGCCGTGTTGATGTGTGCTCAGCAGGCTATGTTTTCTGGCAGAGATCCTGTTGAGGAAACGCAGGGATCACTGAACCGCCAGATACAAGCCAACACTGCTGTCAATGTTTAACGCCATTGGTGTTGTGCCTCATTAAATTGCTGTCTGAAATGTTTAAAAACATCAGCTGATGGTTTAACGCTGATGTTTTGCTTTTAGTGAAAGGTGAAGCGTGTCATTTTTGCACCAATGGAGATATCAAAAGGAATTTCATTATTTTTACAGTTCCATTTAATGCTGAGTTGTTTTTTTAACAGGTTTCTATGTGGTTGCAAGGGTGTTCTGGGGGAATCACTAAAAACAACCACATAGAAACATGCTTAGAACCACTCACAACACTTTAGGAGCTGGATAGCAACACCCTAGCACACCTAGCTATGTTACTATGTGGTTGCTTGGGTGTTGCTATGCAGATGCTCTGAGTGTTTTTTAGAATGTTACTGTGGTTGATTGGGTGTTGTTATGCAGCTACTAAGGGGGTTTGAGTGGCTTTAAAGGATATTACTTGGTGGTTGTGTGGGTGTTGCTATGCAGCTGCTAAGGGGTTCTGAGCATTTTTTAGAATGTTACTACTGTATGTGGTTGCTTGGGTGTTGCTATGCAGCTACTGAGGGGTTTTGAGTGGCTTTTAGAATATTACTTTGTGGTTGATCGGGTGTTGCTATGCTGCTGCTAAAGAAGTTCTGAGTTTTTTTAAGAATGTTACTATGTGGTTGCTTGGGTGTTGCTATGCTGCTGCTAAAGAAGTTCTGAGTGGTTTGTAAAATGTTACTATGTTGTTGCTTGGGTGTTGCTATGCAGCTACTAAGGGGCTTTGAGTGGCTTTTAGAATATTACTTTGTGGTTGATCGGGTGTTGCTATGCTGCTGCTAAAGAAGTTTTGAGTGTTTTTTTTAGAATGTTACTGTGTGGTTGATCAGGCGTTGCTATGCTGCTGCTACAAAGATTCTGAGTGTTTTTTTTAGAATCTTACAATGCAATTGCTTTAGTTGTCTGAGGCAACCACCAAGCACAAGCAACTAAGTAGCTGCTAAGGTGTTCTAAATATGGTTTTATCATGTTAATATAAGATTTCTAGGGTCTTAAGCTGCATAATAACCGCTCAGAACACTTGAGCAACTGCATAGCAACACCCTAGCAACCTTTGTATGGTCAAGCGTCTTTGCAATTCCATTTGATAATGAGTATTTTTTCTAAAGTGTTCTGAGTGGGTTTAACATGTTTCTATGGGGTTGAAAGAGTTTTTAGCGAAAAATCAACATACCAAAAACAATCAGAACACATTAGCAAGAATTTTTGTAATTCCATTTGACTTTTAACCTGTTGCTATGCCTGTTTTCTATGCCTGTTTCTAATTCACGATAATAAAACACACAGAACACCTTAGCAGCTTCATAGCAACACCCTAGCAACCTTTATAGGGTCAAGCACTAACATTTTCTTCAGACAGAGTGAAAAAAAATCGAGTTTCTGTTCTCTACAATACGGCTGACAGTAAGTTTGACCATAAACCTCTGGTATTAAGTTAATTTCCATCAGCAAGTCCAGATGAGAGTTTAGATCATACTATTGTTTTGATGCATCAACTGTTTTTACAATAACATCTTAGATCACTTGCACATCTTTTTTTTTGTCACACAAACACAAAGTCATTGTCACTCATGTCTGCTGGTTAATTTGCATTAGGGGTGTGACATTTTAAGGTTGTTGAACATTTCCTCTGACAACACAAGAGAAACAAACACTGGAAAACCACCTGAACTGGTTCGACCAGCATTGCCAAAACTAAGCTGAAAAAACAGCAAAATCATGCCGTCAGACCCAGGAAAGGGAATGTTTTGAGACTACAGACCAGAAGTACATCCACAGTTCTTTTTACACATTTATTTTTAAAATCTTTTTAATACAATTAAAGTCAAACCAGTGCTTTAAAAATGTACAAAGTGAAAAAACCCCATTAAATCGGTTAAATGCTGTGTGGAAATATCCCACGTTGCCGTTTTTAAATTTAGCACATTCCATCCTATTTTTGTACAAATGTTAATTATGAACATCATTTTTAAATACAGGCAAGAAGGAAATTCATTAAAAATCAAGCATCACATATACAGTCATATATTATCAACAAATAGGCTCCATAAGTCCTGTTTTCTTCTGAATGTTTGTTCCCATCTCAAGTTCTTTCTGCACTGGAGTCTCTATGGGAGATTTTAGTGGTAAAGTGCAGCACTCACTGTGTGTGTTTTAATATCTTGGCTGGTTATAGACTGAGGGTGGAACGGAAGAATAGGCTGGTTGATATGCGGGTTGTCCGTAAGGGTATCCATATCCGGGCCTGTAGGAGTAGTTGTACGGGACGGATCCGGCACGATACATCACAGCAGCCATGTCCGCTTTGTCCTGTGTCCGCGGTGCATGTCGACACAGCAGAATCACCCCGGCGCAGAAGAGCAAAGCAGAAGTGACCCATCCGATATAAAGGGCCTCCCCAAGCTCTCTGCGTTGGGCGTCGAGCAACAAAGGGTTGTAGAAGTCTTGGATGATCGCGTGAGCCGTCCACGACACGGGGATGATGGTGGTCAAGCAGCCCGCCAGGAACAAACACCCTCCACTCACCAAAACAATGTGCTTGGTCTTGGGACGGGAGTCCACCAGACGGGTACAGCGCATTCCTACGGCTGACACGATGCAGGCGAAGGCGGACAAAGCGACGGAGGTGCACATGAGACCCCTGGAAGCCTGGAGTTCGGCCGGGAGGTACAGCAAAGAATCGTAGACCTTGCATTGCATACGGATGTTGGCTTGCCGGTAGCAGTTCATCCACAAGCCTTCCCAACGCGTCTCCATCACAATGATGTTCTCCTGGATGAACGCCGTCACCTTCCACATCGGGAGGCCCGTGACGGCGGCGACGCCGATCAATCCGAAAAACCCGATGACCAGCGCCACCACCTCACAGCACATGGACTCCCGTCTCTTCCTCTTCTCCACCTTGAGCTGCTCCTCGTATATTTCCTCTGCAGACTTCTCAGCAGGATAGCCCGTGTACACACTGCCCCCATAGGTTTTGTCCGCGTAGGGCTTGGCCATATAAGACCCGGCCGTGTAAGACATGATGGTCGAGAAGAACCAGACACAGAACACGGCTCTCCTTCACTGTGGTGTTTCTCAAATGAGACCGGAAGATCCAGATGACACGTATTTACAGCCAAGAAAAAAATGTTAATGATGTTATGTGATCAGACTGGTTCTCCTGCTCCTAAAACATCTGATAATCACCTCGAAGGAAACTGGTGATACTTGAAATGCTCAAACAAATGACTTCTGCCATTAGGTGGCTTCTAAATATGAGCATTATATTTATGATGACAACACAAAATAGCTTGTCGGAGTGTATACGATTTATTTAAAATTCAATTTGAATGGTAACTTTCAAGGTAAGATTTCAAGGTAATATTCAAGTTATAAAATACATATTAATAATAAATAAAAATAAAACAATTTTAAAGCTCAAGTTATCAAAATACAGTAAATGACTATTACTAAAAATACAGTAGTCAACATTTGAATTTCATCAAACCATTTATCAAAGTTATACATGAATTTTGAACAATACCCGTTCTTGTCTTAGGACAACTTTGATGAACTTTTTCGATCCACTTCAAATGTTGACTACTGATATAAAATGAATACAATATAAATACAAATAAATATATAAATAAATTTGTGAATGACAATGACTATTTTGACATTTTATAACACGGGTTTTGTTATTATTGCTCATTTAACAACAACAACAACAATAATAATAAAACAATTTTTTTATTATAAATATAAACAAATTAAAAATAAATAAATAATTCAATAAAATAAATAAATAATTATTATCCAGCTTGGGCAATCAAATAAAAAACGTATTGAGCACTGCAGGTGTAAGAAAAACATTAAAAATAACCATATACAATTGAAAAATTATAGACAAAACTATATATAAAATGAACATGCATATATACTATTTTATTGCTCTTTCATAGCTCTGCAGGAGACTCGAATTGTATTTATTATATATATTATTTTATTCAAGTTTTAACTGTCTCATATATGTTTTTCTTAAGATTCCTTAAAAAAAAAAAAAAAAAACGAGTCAATATTTTACATCAATTAAAAGTACAGAGCAACAAAATGAATGCTGATAGCAGCTCAGATCATTTAATGTTTCATCTTTGGAAGAATTTGATGAGAAATGTTTCAGTTCATATGAGGAGATCTCTGACTTATTTTCTCAAAAGGTTCCTAAACTTAAATTTCCCATGATTCCCCTGAGCTTGTGCTGTCTCTTTCAGCTGCTGTATCTCAGTGAGAGGTCAGGTGTGTGTGTTACAGCACTTCCAGGTAAGAAACGCAAATACACCGGACGCTAGACAAGAGGTGGAGGGTGGAACCTGAGATGGCTAGTGTCACACACACACACACACTTCTGTAGATATCTAATCCATCTAACATCCGTCCAGCGTCAGTGTATAGCTTACATTTAGTTTCACTTACAGTAAATACATGCATGTGGGTGTTGCTAAAATATCTAAGCATGTCAGATGCAAATCTCACGCAGACGGCATGCCAGTATTTTTCAGCATGTTTACTTTGTATATCCAGCTGGGTAGAGTGTATTTGATGAATGCAATTGTTTTTAGTCAAAAGCCCAGCATGCCAAAATCAAAGAATTATGCATCAAACCTATAGGAAAGACAATTAAAAAAATACGATCTATTTAATATCTCAACTATTTCTCATGCACAGCAAGGACTTTTGCTGAAATCTTCAGCTTCTCAGATGTTGCTCCCGAGGAAAAGACTCTATTAATATGAAGATTTTATGAATAAATGAATAAAAGATTTTAATATGAACTCAAGCATTTCTCAAATGATCCGAGCGGCTCCACGTTCAGTTACAGCTCTACACTCTCTATACCGTGTTTGTCGTCTTATTTGTTTCCACTTTTATTCCTCCAATAGAACTATGAGAAACATCTGAGACAAAGTTATGAACGTTTTCTCTGAGAATCACACAACTTTATTGTTTAAATGATCCTTTAATATCACTTAATTTTAACTAGCACATTTAATATTACAATAAAAAAAGTGCAATTATCATATTTATTATTCAGTATTTATAAGTATAAATATTAGATAATAAATAATATTTATAATAAAATAATATTTGATCATAAAAAAAACATTAAAATGGACTAAATTACAAGTTTTTTGAATGATTATCTAGTTTAGTCTTATTCATAATTGAACAATTCAGATATAAAAGTTTAAAAGTCGCTGGGTAAATCTTATAATCAAGTTTTTTTGTGCAAATGATGAATTTTAGATGACAGATTGTTTAGTCTCATTCATAATTGAATGATTTATTTAAAAACAGAAATAGGCAAATCATATGTTTGTGATAGATGCACAAGTTAGTTTCAGTTTTTCCTTACAAGTACAGAACTACAATAAATGAATTCAACCCGAAATGTATTAAAAATATAATATATGATCATATCACATTACACTATAGACTGAATGCATTTAGTTAGTTAAGTGAGTAACATTTAATCTAATTAACCGAAATTCAACACAGAGATTTTCCAAGATTCATATCAGACCAAGACAGCAACAAAAGCTCGAAAACTAATAAAACTAAAAAGACACGCATAAATAAACAACTGGTCTGAATGAATCATTAGTCTCTGTCAGACGTACTGACTCTTCGAGTAAGAGTTAGAAGAGGGGGTCCGTTCCAACATAATCATTTCCACCGGGACATACGGCCCGTCCTCCTCGTCCTTCCTCTGGCGAGGGGCGTAACGGCACAGCAGGATCACCCCTGCCACCAAGAGGACCAGGAACGTGGCGAAGCCCACGTACAGCGCCTGTCCGATCTCACGCTTCTGCGACTCCAACACCATGGGGTTATAAAAGTCTCGTATGATGGAATGAGTGGACCAGCAGACGGGAATGAGAGTGGCGAGGCCGGACGCGACGAAAAGACAGCCGCCCACCAGCAGGATCACGTTCTTGCCCCTGCTGTGGTCCTGAAGGCAGTCTGTGCTCCTCATCCCGCAGGCGGACACCAGGACGGCGAGGACGGCGAGTGTGATGGACACACACATGAGCCCGCGGGCCGTCTGGATGTCTCCCGGCAGGATGAGCAGAGAGTCGTAGATCTTGCACTGCATCCGGATGTCCGCCTGCCGAATGCACGCCATCCACAAGCCCTCCCACTGCGCCTCCATGACGATGATATTGGGCCCGATAAACGCCGTGACCTTCCACATGGGGAGCGCGGTCACCGCGATGGTCCCGATCAGACCGACGGCGCCCAGCACCAGGGCCAGGATCTCCAGCTTAGCCCTCATGACTACAGCGGCTTCGCTCGCGAGCACAAGTGATGTGAAACGCCAGCGTTTCAACAAATGTATTGGGCATATCTGACAGGAATGAGGTAGGAGGGGTTGGGTGCATCCGTGCTATGCGGTAACGCTGGTTTCTGTAAGCTGACGACAAACGGACCTGGTTTTGTTTTTAATGGAAGTCTGTGACTTCATGCATCTGTTGCAACAGCAGGAACTGCTCTACTGTAAAACGGCTCCATAGTGAGGGCCAACATGAGATAACAGAGCTTCTCAACCACACACACACAAAAAAGTACATTTCACAATTGATAAAAACAAAAAAAAAACAAAAAAAAAAACAGCAAGACTTGAATTAAAAGAGAAATTTTGAGGTCGAAAGACTGAAATAGTATTTTCTTTTTTAGAGTAAAATGTACTCTTTGAAAGGAAAAAACGGCCTCAGCACTGATTTAAAACCGTTTAAAATGAGACACAACAAGATTAAAGGGTTATTTCAACCCAAAAAGCGATGTGTTTTTGTAAGAAAACCATCCATATTAATAACTTACTACAATCGCTGGCCTCCGGTAATGGCTCTACGCCTCTCGCGGTTTAAACACATAAGGCTGGGCAACAAACTCGAGCTCCTCTTCTCTTATATCACAAATTCTTCGAGATTTCTTTTTAAAACTTCTCATTTTAGACTTTTCATTTGTGACCGGTGTTTTGCTCTACCCTCTGCGCTTCCGCGTTCGTCCATACGTCATGCGTCGGGTCAGAGGTCACTCTTCCACCGGGACTTGACTTGCGCACGGCCGTGATTTTAGTTGATAAAGTTATAAATATGGATATTTTTCTTAAACTAACAAAGGCCTTTATTAACCCCCTGAAATCGTATGGATTACTTTTATGATGGATGGATGTGTTTTTTTGGGATTCAAAATCTAAGTTACCATTCACTCCCATTATTAAGCTTGGAAGAGCCAGGGTATTTTTTAATATAACTCTGATTGTGTTCGTCTGAAAGAAGAGAGTCATAAACACCTAGGATGGCTTGAGGGCGAGTAAATTATGGGATCATTTTCATTTTTAGGTGAACTAATCCTTTAAGTCCTTCCCAGCCATTGACGGAATTTTCCGGCTTTCCGGCTATGACGCATCTTCTGAAAGAGAGTCGCCAGATCAAAACACGGGTGAAGGAGAAGAAGAAGAAACAAGCGGTAGAAGCATTGCTTATGCACATGTAAAACAACGTGATCATCAAACAGTAAACAGCATATACATCAAAACTGCCTAATGTTACTGAATGAAATGTCGAACGCATGCAGAGGTACGGGACTGTGAAGCTTTGGGGGTGTCGATGCACTCTACCTATATGTTTTGATTATTGTTTGATATTGTATCTTCGGATATTCATACAGGAAAATATTCTGGGGGCCATACAAGTTTTGTGAAAATTATCAAAAATGCAGGCAACTAAAAAAAAAAAAAAAAAAAAAAAAAAAAAAGTTAAAATAAGCTAAATATCAAAATCAAGATTTTAAATTGTTCTCTCAGCCATTTTATTTTAGAAAAGGTAAATATTCACAATTTTTATATATATATATAATTTAAGTGTCATTTTTAGACCTAGAAAAGTAAACAAAATTAATAAAATATATTGGTAACACATTACTTGAAGTCTTTTTATATAATGCATTATAAAAGTGCTTAATGCATTAATTATGCCTTTTAATACACATTATAATGCATTGAATAATCTCATGAATAATTGTAACCACATTTATACATTATAATACTTATCTACTCATTGTTACACCATTATAGAGTTTATTTGGTAACACTTTACAACAAGGTTGTATTTGTTAACTTTAGTTGACTACATTCATTAACATGAACAATACTTCTACAGCGTTTATGAATCCTAGTTAACTGTCATTTTTACATTTACTAACATATTTTTAAATCAAAAGATGTATCTGTTAACATTAGATAATGCACTGAACTAACATAACAATGAACAAAGCACATCATAAGTGCTATAAAAATATATTGTTCATTATTAGTTCATTTTAACTAATACATTAATGCAAACAAATGAGACACTTTTGTAAAGTGTTACCATATATTTCATTAAAACACATGATACACAACTAATTTCAGATGTAGCAAGGATTCTGTACCTTTATAATGTGGTATACATAAGTGTTACCTAAATATATAAATATAATACATGTTAATATACAGTATAATAACATTTTCTAGTTATGCCAAGTTCTAAAATATTTTTTATCAGGTAGAAAATTGTGAGTGAAAAGTATAAAAAATGTTAGATTTTAATATTAAAAATATTTTAAATATTATTTTTTTCAAAAGAAAATCCTTAATCCTTACCCAATAAATCACAAACAACTGGAAAAAGGAAATAAGGGAAATATATTACCCCACATTGGGGGACTTATAATATTGCAGTGAACAATGGGGGTCGAAAGGTCAAAAAGGCTGAGAACCACTGGGTAAAAGGGTTAGATCACCAAAATTTTTTTTTTTTTATTGTTTACTCACCCTCATTTGATCCAAACCTGTTTGCTGTAGAGTAGAAAAGGAGAATAAGGCTGCGTTCACATATCGCGCCTAAAAACGCGTAGAAAACGCTGGGCGCGCCGCATTCTTTTTTTTCAAAACGCTAGGGCGGTTGCGCTCCGGTTGGTTCTTGTCACGTGACCTACTGTGCGCTTATGGTGCGCTTGCGGCATTCTGAAAAGTTGAGATGTTTTTATCTCGATGCGGCGCGGACGCGCCTGGAAAAAACGAGCGCGTCGCACCGCGACCGCGTCGCTTCCATTATGAGCGCGCAAACCGCGCGCCTCCATTTGAAATAATGAACTTGAGCGCGCAAAAGACGCGATATGTGAACGGGCCCTAAGTCTTCTTCAAGCAGCTCTTTTCCCTTTCATCATCATGCCTGCTTTGAAAGATGCGCAGATAATAATTAAAAAACACAAATCCATCCCAAAATTCCATTTATGATTCTGTGAAACTTTAACCAGTTATTTGAGAAAGTGGTAATAGTGAGATACTTATTTAAGATAGTAGAACTACAGCTGCTGGCAACATTCATCGAGTGCACATATGGGAGAAAACTGACTTTGGCGAGTAAATAAAACAGTTATTGCTCATTTTGAAAGGACAGAACAACATAATACATTGTATAAATTGCATTGTAAGAACAATAATCTGAATCGTGCTGTTCTAAATGACGTGAACAACGACAGTTGTTAAACTTTTACCTCAATTTACAATGAAATGTTTATCTTGGATGCCTACAGTTTTCAAATCTTCCATGCATTAAACCACGAAAATGAAAATATGAGGAACAAAACATTTTTTTGTGACGTGCCGTTTCACTGAGCCTATGCTGCTTGATGCTGTTTGCCACCATTATGATAGGAAAAGGCAACATATCAGGAAGAACAATATACTTATAATAAATATAATGCAAAATACTAAATGCTTAGTAAGAACATGTTCATGGCTCCTAAGTGTTCTTGGTTTATCCTCTACTGGCAGGTATCAGTGTTCATTTTATACCTGGTTTTATGACTATAAATCTATTTGTTTTGTAATTTAAAGTGAATGTATTTTTTACATTGAAATCCTGGCTGAACATAAGATCATGTTGAGCACATTTCTGTCACCTGAGCTAAAATGCCACCAGTCTTCATGTAAAATCGGTAAGAGGTTCATTGAAGAGTCAACAGAAACTTTCAAACCTGTCTGACGGGTCGGGCCGCTGTGACTTCATCTGTGACTGAGTTTCCTATGTCAACTCAGACGTCCAACCTCAGAGAACAAGAGTGACATTTAACAACATATGATTATGACTTATGTAAATGTATTCTGTCAATATCACACTTTTCCTATTAGACAGCACCTTTTACTTAACTGTAGACAGTATGAATGTTTCACTTCTGCATTAATAGAGAAAACCACTATACATGCGCAGAAAATATGGGACATTTAATTAGACTTTTGTTGAAAAAAATAATAAATCCGGATTTTCATATTTACACGAAATGTTTGTGCGCCATCTAGCGCATCTGTGTAAAACTGCACGTTCAACATCAAAATCACCAGGGGGAAAAATACAAACTTCCACAGCATCCAATTAATAAATAATAATCAAATAAAGCACATACACATACCACGGTAAATAAATAATGACTATTTTCACGTAAATGCCACAGTAATTTACTCCTAATTTACCACAGTAATTTACTTGGTAAAATTATGGAACCAGACGACAAGTGAATGATTAGCAAGAATGCTAACGTTGATCATTCACAGATTCACTACGTCTTATTACCATCTGGTTCCGTCATTTTACCATAGTAGCACCACAGTACAGGCTTTTATGAGCTGTGTAGATTAATATTTAGCCTAAATGTTGGTTCATTTAGTACAAAACTCCATTAACTTGATAAACTTGCCTTGTTTTCTCACTTTTCTCTAATGAAGTCAAGTCGACCACAGAATCCTTCAAGTCAGGTTATAATTATTAATGGTAAAATATAACAGTATTAATTGTTTATCTTCTCCACATCTGATGTCAAAACTGTAACAGCCAATCGACAGAAAGACAAAAAAGAATTTACTTTCAACAATAAAACAGAAACGTAAGGAACGTAGTAATAAACTTACCGAAAGCTTAAGTGTCAGATGAAATGGCTTCGAGTTCGACATGAGGCATAACATCTCTATGCATTGCATAACATCTCGGTTCTACACTCAAAAAACAATTTCGCATACTTAATGTGTTCATATGCAAACATAATGGTACCTTAATTCGACCACTGGGAGGCAGATTGTTTTTTTTTATATATAGGCCTAATGGTTGAAAAAAATATACAACATATATCAATAAATACTGTAGATGTTATAAATATATTCATTTTTAAATATATATAACTTATTATAAATAATACATTTTCAGCTGTATAACAACTATGAGATTAAAAATAATTCATGAAACAGCACAACAATATTGTACAAAAAAATTTAATATCATTTAAAAAAGATAATTATCAAATATGACAAAAATAAACATGCACAACAGCAAAAAATGAGTGACAATTTCTTAAAAGCCCTGACGTGACTTTTAAGAAAAATCCGCTTGTTCAGGAGGTTAAAATCTACCTTCATTACTACTCT